AGCGTGATTTTTGTTAGTCACTTTGCTTAAAATAGAAAACTCATTTCACACTTATGAGATGAAATACCCAGAGATTTTGCATGTTTTTAGAATGTGGTTTGTCTTTTGATATGATATCAGTATTATATCCACATGGTGCTGAGTTTCATCTAGAATGTCATTATATAATGGGTCTGGAGGTGAGAATAGTAGATGATAAAATAAGACTTGTTTATGGTAAGGTCACTACCACAGGTGATTCTAGAAATCCGTCAGGGAAGTGGGAGTGGGATGGAAGGATAAATCTGAACCAAATATACAAAGCAGCTGAGGAATGTCCTTTAAAAAAAGTTCATGCCTCCTGAAAGAACAGTGCTCAATAGCTTTCAGTTCTGCCTTTAAGAATTGTTTAGATCACAAAACCCAAATCCTTGTGAATTGCCCCACTGTACAATATGTATAAGCAAAGAGAACAACACGGTGACAGGGTCCATTTGTATTTTCTTTAGTTGCATCCACTGATATGAAAAATAGAATCAAAATGATTGCTTAATGATAGTATGACAGCATACTATTGTGCCATCAGAATGTAAAACAGTTTTAAAAACTGCCTAAAACCCAAGACATTGAGAACACAATATACTAATAAAGGGAATAGGTTTTCAAGTTGCTTCTTACTCAGAATCAGCTTCTGCTTTATGCAAAGTAAGGTTGTTACACCTGAGCATCTTCAAAATAGCATGGGTATTCAGAACAAGTTGGTGTAGGACTGCATATGTTTAATGCTACCTGATGCTCTGCTTCTGCAGTAATTTAAGATGAAAACTTCAGTATCTCCTGGTGGAAAATAGCAAGGGTAACCAAAATCATTGCTGTGTGATTGCCAAGTCACGTTATACGTAAAGAGACTGTTATTTTTCAATTATAAGTAGAAGCTACATTTTCAAACTGCACCTGACAAAGCTTGTAGATTAGATTTTTAAAAATAAAACTTACAGAAAAAAATTGAGTTTTTAAAGCATTAATGATTGTTTCTAGAGGGAATCCAGTTTAGATTGGTGGGAAGATCTGGCTTTGAAAATTTGGCAAAAGAATGAACACAAATTAGAAACCCTTACTAAAAAGTTAAAAAAAGGAGAGAGAGAAAAAAATGAGTTGTACAATAGGCCACCAGAAGAAGTCTATACAAAGAAACTCTGCTCTAGTAGTACTGCCCCCCTATGAAGGCAGCATCTAACACTACAGTAAATTGCTGGATCATTACATTTACCTTTAGACTTCATTTTGCTCATGAATTTCACAAGAGGTTCTGAGAAAAAGACACCAAAATATGTTAGTGAAACACAGAAATGTGAACTTCAGATAGATTTTGGTTAATTATGTAGCCACTTACATAAATATGTCACATTATTTGTGTGCCTTAAATTTTGATTCCACAGGCCTTGACATTTCCCAGGATACTATTTTATAAGATCACAAGTCGGAATTGTCAGGTTAAATCTAGATACTGTAATAATGAAAACGCCACTCAGTAAGTTCAGCTTTTGAAAATCCATTGTTAATTAATAGCATTCAATTCTTATTTCTTTTTAACAGTTCAATTGAAATTGTTGACACAAAATACATTGTTAAACTGCTTAATCAATCATTGTAGAAAAATAGAGGCGTTTGATAGGGACATTCTAGTACAAAGTTTCTGAGAAGCTTTCCCCATTGAAAGCCTCAGAGGCTTCTAATTTTAAGCGCATGTTACAAAAGTGAGATTTTGTAAACTTGTACAGTTCGTACTACATGAATACCCAAGACAATGAGAGACACAGAAATAGAGACCTGGAGCTTTCAGTGCCCTATTCACAAAAATATAGCTGACACATGCACATGCCCCAATGGCGAAAAGTCTATTTTTTGTGCTAAAGGACACAAAAAAGTTTAATAGGGCTATGAGCTGCTGTTTTAATTAACATGACAAACTGTTGTTAAACTGCAGCGATGGGTTATAGAATGGCCCAGTCAATTACAAGAGCCGGAAGCAGATTCATCCTAGCTGGAATTCTTTGCTTTCAGCTCGTGCACTCTGTTATAGGACTACAGACTGACACACAGGCTGTTCTTCATTATGTATGTAGTATACTCTTGGTATAGTGTTCTTTGTTATAAGGCTACTGTTCTTCAGTGAAGCTGTAGCGTGACCCTTCCTTTAAAAGACCTTCTAAAGAAACAGCTGTTGCCATCTGCTCTACCGCATGGTTTTCTTGGTTGTCAAGAGTTGCATTACAGACAGGGTGTGATATATAAACAGAAGTACTCAGAAGTTCTCACGCAGACCTAGCATACTGTTATTTTTTAAATGGGCCTGTAGCAAAACCACTTTTTTTCACCAAAATAAACAAAAATAGGCAACGACCTAGATTTACTTGTTTAAAAAAATCAGTCGTTCTGGCGGAGGGGACAAAAGTACATCTCCCAAACAACTGCCTACAGTGTGGAAGCTATACCAGCTGCTTCTGTGTGAAAACCTGGTAGGGGCAATTTCCAGAAACAAAACACGCATGGAGCTCTTTGTGAGACTGATCTGTGTGGCCCTGGCATGCAAAGCCTTACCTTGGTATTGAGCACAGCTGTAGGAGCTTCAAAAAGACTCTTTAACCACTCAGTGAAAATTAATGACAGGCAATTGTTACAGCAAAAAAAAATATATATATATATATAGTATAGATGTGAAATTAATGTGAAGGCTGTATCACAGTGCAAAATTTCTACCTGCCCACTAGATTTCTCCTGAGATTTTATTTTTTGTCTATTTTAACTTAAATTTTTCTCTACAAAAATACTTTAAGTTCTTTTCAGTGTATTCTTCCTTTCCAGACTAGGCAGGTATAAAAAAAAAAAACCCAACACGTTAAGGCTGCAGTTGTTTTTTTTTCTGTTGACTGAGGGAAATGTTGCTCTTTTGATGAGCCTAAGCTAGTGCTTCTAAGCTACTGGCCCCATGGGTCAGACAAGTGGCATAGGTTCAGTGTGTGGGCCAGATCCAGTACAGGGTTGGTCCATGGGGCTGTTTTGGGGGTGTTATCCAGCATGCTGGCCTGATCCTGCATGCTAGACCTGGCCGTGCACCAGCCTGACCCTGCAGGCTGGCCTGACCCCAGCTGCAGGCTTGATCCTGAGTGCTGGCCCAACCCCATGTGCCAACTTGACCCTGTGCACTGGATTTGGCCTTATGGCAGCCCGATCTAGCACTCAGGGATATGTTATCTGGCCTGTGGGGCTCCCCAGGGTCCAGATATTTGGTAGTAGTAGAGTGGCAATTAACTTTGCCACTGCCCTGCCCTGCTGCCAAATGTCAAGGCCTGTGAATAGCCCCATGGGTTGGATGACACCATTCCATGTGACCAGGGGACACAGGCCTAAGCCAAAACACACTGAAATCAGTGGGAGCCTCTTCTTTGATTTAGTAGTGTTTTATGTACAGAGGGCCTGGATTTAACCAGTCCTTAGTCACATTCAGTAGTGCCTTATTTTGGACATCATCTCACATGATGTTATTTGCATCATTATTTGCAAAGGTGGGTCAGATCCTCAAGTGGTCTAAAACTATGCAAATTAACATAGTATCATGGACCTCAAAGGAAGTCCTTTAAAATGTTTTATGCCAGCCATGGATCAGACCCACGGTGAAGAAGTGTTATAGAATCACTTGTCTAAGTACAGATGGCAGGTCTCTGTCTTTATATGAGAAACCCTGATGGCAGTTATCCAGGGTTATAAAATATTGTGGGAAGCCTCAGGAGCAAAAATGTGTCAGTGGTGACTGCAACTCTAGATGAAATGTAAGTAGTTCTTCTCAGACTGTGTAGCTAAAAATATTCTCTTCCTATCTATGTATAACATTCAGTTTCAGATGGCTTTTTATATTATTTTTAAAGCAAACTACACAGTTTTAATCCAATAATTTAGGGGAAAAAGAATAGTGTCCCCAGGTATTGCACTTGAAGGGTGATACCCCAATGGAAAAAGTGCTTTTTATACAAAGAACATTGTAGAGATTCTTGTGTTATCCAGGGTTCTTCCACAGTCTAATTTAGGCTGAACTGACAAAAATAGTCAGGAATGGTTTACCTTATAATATTACAAAAAATAGGTTCATTTTGTAAACAGTTTCACAGTATTTCAGTAATATTGTTGCAATTTCTCGACCCTGCCCTACCCCAGACTATGGCTTTTAGAGTTAATAACATGATCTTTTAAGGAATTGGGAGGTACCCTAAATCATTGCCAGTCTGGTACACTGAAGAAAATATCATGCATTAAAAGGGCCAAAGATATAGGCGATTTAAAAAATATTATAACAGAAATGCCTATTTAGAGGGTTTGTTTGTTTTTTTTGCGTCCCAACATTTCTAGAATTATGTATCTAAACCTACATTAATTACACATCTATTTACATTATTTAGAAGTTCTTTACTACAGTACTTTTGTACATGCTGGATTTATTACTAAATTTAAAAAGAAAGTAATGACATAAGGCATATATACAGAATCTTGTGGAATTGCAGATATTTCTGCTCCCCTTGGTCTTAAAGCTGCAATGCCCATTTTCTGGTGGCATCTCATCTAATTTATGAAACTGTCTTGAAATATATAAAAGCTGGAGCCAAGACCTACAGCATTAATGAGCACTAATGAACACTTTCCTTTTATTAGCCCTGTTGTTAAATTTTTCCCCTTTTTGTTGGCATTTAAAATAAACCTGTGATTATGAACTCATACTTGTCTAAAGGCAATCTCCCATTGTTGGAAGGGTGATAATCAGAGTCCATCATCAGTAAGGGATATTGCAGCTTTAACCCATGTCTTTGCTTAGTTTATGTATCTCTGGATTTGAAATTAGGCAGGTAGATATTTCACATCTTTAAATATGTCTTTTCCTGTAATTAAAAAAGAAAAAAAGAAAACGAGGTGGGAGGAAGGGAGGGAGGGAGGAGAAAAAGGGATTGCATGGTGCCATTCCTCCAGTAGTTTTAAACTTTGGATTCATTCTCTAAGTTTGCCACATCACCATTTCTTTCAGTTTGGTCGTCTTGGTTCTTTTCCTCCTCTTCAGTTTCGAGTTCTGCATGCTGGTCTAGTTGGCTGGACACAGACCAAGTCAGGGGCAGTTCTGCTCGGCTGGCCATCTCTGCTAGTTCTTTGGCACTGTAAACTGGTGTATTGGTCTCATACGTTTCATGAAAGCTGTTGTAGTCAACTTCATAAAATCCATCCTCCAGTGTGAGAACAGGTGTAAAACGATAACCCCAGAGGATTTCACTGGTAACATAAGAACTTCGAGCCTGGCATGTCATCCCTGGAAAAAGAAAAGGCAAAAATTTTGTACCACAGAGTGCCCCAGAACGATTCTTGTTTAATAGTTACAGAGTCATGCAAGTACATGTGGCATTGTATGCTAGTAGGGGTATGCCAGAAAAATAACAGGTTTCAAGATGACAATTAGAACAATGTATAATGTGTCAGATATACATTTTTCCTTATCTTATATATTTCATAGGATAAGTCTGTCAGCAAAATCCTAACATTTATATGATAGCTGCAGTTATTCTTGAATTTCATCAGTAAATAATTCTAGAGTCTGGAAATGAGTCACAAACAACTTGTTGATAATATACATGATCTGTAGTGTTGATTAGTCATCTTTTTCTGTATTTTGTTCTCTAATGGATGACTTGTGTAACTAACTAACACTAGCTCTGTTGCCATGCTTAGAAGCTGCCTAGAGTGATCAAAGAACTAACTGTTTCTGGTTAAACTCTTGACTGAGGTTTGACCCAAGGATTGACTTTGTCTTGCCTAAAAGTTTGGGACCTCTATAAAGGTATATTATTTTAAACTTCCGGCTAATGAACTACTCAGAAGTTTTAGCAAAACTGTCAAAAGTATGTTATGAAAGTTGTGCTGTTAGCTGCAAAGCACTGAAACAAACTTCTTTCTTCTTTTCTCTTAACAATATATTTCTACTAGAGCCTCTTCCTTTGAATTGCTGAAGGGGTAATGACCTCAAAGAATGATAGATCTTGTTAAGAAAGTGTAGGAAAAGCAGTCTAACCCTTGTTCAAAATGCAGTGCAACATTGTCTCTAGATGAAGAAATGTCTAGTCACAGCGTCTACCACAAGACAAACTGGGTGAGGTAATAAAGGACTCAGGGAAAGGGGGATACTTGCTGTGGTCAGTAAAGGGGGTAGGAACAGCCTGCAGACTAAAAAATAATATAAGGGGAAGACAATTGAAGACAGCAAAGAGATGTCCCCAATAAAGAGGGATTATGAGGAGAGGCTGTGACAGTTTCTCTTTAATTATTTACAAATTCTTTTCACAATTACTGAATAACAGTATGTTACTAGCAAAGTTCAGAAAGTTAATATATGGCAAGATTATAATATACAACAAGACCATATAACTGGAGAACTATAATAGATGCCTCTTCCCCATTATTCAGGGAAAGAAGAAAGGGGTATGTGGGGCCCAAGGCATATCAGCCTGTGCAGGGTTGGGGGTAGCGAGTGGCTGGAGCATGGAGCCGGTGGCAGCAGTGGAGCCTGTACGGCACTATCCGCAGGGCCCCCCAAAGCGTGGGCCTGAGGTGGTCACCTCAATTCGGTACTCCTAGGGACGGCCCTGTCACAGTCACTTTAAGACAAACTGTTTACATTGTAGAAGGAGTGGGCCTTGGAGACGTAAATCTAGTTCCAGGGTAGAGCGAGGCAGTCTGACCCAGAGAGGAGTTTCTAATACAGAGTGAAGGAGCTGTGCTATAAATATAGTGGTAACTGAGAAGAGCCCCTGAAGCTGGGACAAGACAGGGGGACAGAGGTGAACCTGGGGAGTACTTTGGGAGAGGGCATGCAGGAGACCGAGCTAAGTTTGGTTTAATTTTTGGTTATGTGTACTGTGTACTTATGATTTTTTGGTGAAGGTATTGCAAGGCATGGGGTGGCTAGTAGGGGAGTTGGGAAACCACTGAGGGCATCCAGAGGGAGGGTGTGGATTATGTGTGTGGAGAGTGTATTTGAAAGCTCCCAGCACTGTGGGTGAATAGGCTGGGGAGAGCTTGAGCTTGTTCAGGAGCCAGGTGCCCTGGAGAGGAGATGTATGTGGTACTGACTGGGCTAGACAGAGGTAGCTCAATGAACATGGGGAGAAAGAACAGACTGCCAAATTTACACTAGATCAGAGCAAAAGCAAGGCAGGTGAGTGCAGTGCATTGCACAGAAAGGCCAGAGTACCTCGGGTCAGGAGTGGGCATAAGAAGGTGCTAGTGCCTATGTGCCTCAAGAACAAGAAGCGTGACTATTTAAGAGAGAATTTTAAGCAGGTAAAAAGAATGTGCGATTTGGAGATAACAGAAAGCTGTCCTTGGGAAATGTACATTGTCATGCCACAGATGTTGCTACCACTGAAGGTACACAGAGAGTTTCAGAGGGTACAAAAGTTTGTGGTTGGCTATCTTCTTTTTCTCCACAGATAAACAGATTATTTCAGAGAAAAATGATACTTCCTTCTCTCCTTCACCCCCTCTGCTTGAGCCTTCTCCCCAGAACGAAGTAAGTTTTTAAGGTCTAAAAATGTTTACTAACCTGTGTTCTTTTTTGATCAAGTTTCATTTTTGCTGATATTGTTACTAGTAGTTACCACACTGTGGTACCTGAGCAATTTTTGCAGCATTTCTCTCCTGTTCAAGTGCATGTAACTGCAGCATCTCAGGGGGGTAACTGCCAGTAGAGGCTTTTTCATAATGACCGCTGTGCTTTTGTTACCCTTCCCTGTTGTCAGAGAGGTGCTGAAATACCACAACAGATTTGGTTTTTCTATTTGCTATTCAGAAAGGGAGAGAATACTGGAAATCTTATAAGTTAACCAGTTCTAGAGAGGTTTCTAGGGCATTTTTTCAGTCTTATCAAATGTAGTAGACTTTCTTTAGGTTGGTATGAGTACCAAAGCATTTAGCAACTTATCTGAATTAGTGAATCATCCATCAATAGTTATTTTAAATTTTGTGAACTCTACAAGGAGATTTTTGCTTTCTGAAATGAGAAGTGGTTAGATCTGTATTTTTTTTCAATTTGTCCGTTACTCAGGAAGTGTGATGCACATCTTTCCTATTCAGTGAAATAGAAGGAAAAAAGAGCAATATATATATGCCATCCATACAGCGTTCGGATCTGCAAGCTAGAGATGAGATCAATGAGCAGGAAAGCTTGGACATTTATTTTCTTTTGAAGTTCATCTGCTACTTTCCACTTCTACTCCAATAATCAAGGCCCAGTTTCTTGAGTATCTGATGTGTTTTTGTGGTCCTTCTGGAATGCAACCTTTGGGAGGTGACAGGATAAATTTTCAAATAGGGTGAAAATGAATCCACAAAAAAAGGATAAATACTCCTAAATGAAACTGCATCTACACATGCAAATGGATCATTTCTTGTGAATAAACACAGTCTGCCTCTACTAATTTTCCTTTAGAGCATTATCATCTTGGATCGTGGTTCTGTCAGGAGCTTTGCTTTTATATATCAGCAATCCCTCTAGTTGAGGATGATTGTCTTTCATGATTACTTTATCTGTGGATCTGAAGATGGCTGATGAAGCCAATATGGGATTAACAGACTCTGTTGCAACTAAAACGTGTTTTCGTGTGAATAGTGGGGTGGCTTCTGGATTCTTGGTTCAGTCCGTGACATGCTGTTTCTGCTGCTCCTGCTTTTTTCCATCTTCTACTGGCATCATACAGCTTCAAAGTACTGAGATCCTGGCAGAAGACTTTCTTCATTTGGGGTGGATATGGGAAATAATCTCCCATGAGTTGATGTTTATGTTACATTTTTTCAAGTTGGCCTTGAGGATGTCCTTGAAGCACTTTTTCTGCCCACCTCTTGAGTGTATGCCTTGAATGAGCTGGGAGAATAAAACTTACTTTGGGAGCCTGAGTCGGACATCTGGATGACATGGCAGGCCCAGCAAAGGTGATGTCAGATGATCATTGCCTTGATGCTCATAGTGTTTACTTACAAGAAGATGCTAATATTGGTGCATCTTTCTTCCCACTGGATTTGAAAGATCTTCTGCAGGCAGCATTGATGGTTCTTTCCAAGTGACTTGAAGTGTCTCCTGTACATTGTTCCCATCTCAGCTGCATACAGTAAGGTGAGAGTCATGACTGCTTGATAACCATAAGCTTGGTTTCAAATCTGATGTAGCAGTCTTTGAACACCTGTTTCCTCAGGCATCTGAAGGCTGTGCTTACACTTTTAATGTCATGTTGGATTTCTTCGTCGATGTCAGCGTTCTGCAACAGATGGCTTCTGAGGTATGGGAAATACACAATATTCTTCAAAGTTTCACCGTGAAACTGAATTACTGGAGCTGGGGACTGCTCATAAGGAGCTTGTTGATAGATAACCTTAGTCTTCTGAACGTTAAACATCAGTCCCTTTTTCTTGTGTGCTTTGGTAAAGACATCAGTGATTGCCTGAAGGTCTGCTTCTGAGTGAGCACACACTACAGCATCAACAGCATACTGGAGCTCAATGGCTGAGGTCGGGGTGGTCCTGGTTTTGGTTCAAAGTTGACTGAGATTAAACAATTTACCATTATTTGGTAGTTTAGTTCCACTGTGATCAGAAGCATGTTGGTGGTCAGATGTAGCATAGCAATAAGAAATATTGAGAAGAGGATTGGATCAATGATACAGCCTTGCTTAACTCCCGTGTTAAACTAAAAGGGATCTGTGATAGATCTGTTACTGAGAAACACTGTTCACATACCATCATGGAGCAGGTAAAGAATGGTGATGAATTTCAGTGGGCATCCATACTTTAGAAGGATCCTCCATAGTGCTTTTCAGTTGACAGTTGAAGGCTTTCCTGAGATCAAAGAAGGCCATGTAGAGAGGTTTATGTTGTTCCTGGCATTTTTCTTGCAGCTGGCAAGCAGAGAGGATCATATCAGTTGTGCCTTTTGATGCCCTAAACCCACGCTGAGATTCTGGGAGGAGTTCTTCAGAAAGTGGAAGGAGACGGTTCAGGAGGGTTCTTACAATGATCCTTCCTGTGGTGGACAGCAAGGTGATCCCTCTGTAAGTTCCACAGTTGGACCTGTCTCTCTTCTTGAAGGTCATCTGGGATTTCTTCATCTTTCCAGATCCTTAAGATGAGGGCATGGAGCTGTGATGTGAGCTCCTCTCCCCAACTGCTTGATGATTTCAGTGAGGATTCCATCAGCTTCAGATGCCTTGTCATTCTTCACTTGCTTGATGGCTTTCCTCACCTCATCAAGGGTTGGAGGGATTCAGA